GGAGTTCCAGAGGGACACTCTGCAAAGTCTGGTTAGAAGTTGTGAATGAAAGGACTAAGATTGTCCTCAGTGAGCTGCAAAGACCAACAATTAGCTGACCCAATTGTTCACAAGATGTGTGGCAGCCCAGCTCTCCTGCAGACCAGGCACCTTTGCCGTGCTGGGACAGTGGGCCTGGCCTTGTGCAAGACCTTTACTTCCCTCCCCTGACTGCTGAAATCAGGGCTGAGCAGGCAGGAGTCATTGGAATTCGTGTTTTCAGTGACAGCTCAGGCAAAGCTCAGGAGTTGGGCATAGGCTTTTGCTTTGAAAAAGGCAAATTGAAGTTTTTTCTCAACACCTCCACCTCAAGGTTTCCTCTATTACCATATATTTCCCAAAGCTTTTAGGATAGGCCAGGGCATTTGGGCCCATTGTTGGATATCTAAGTTTGGGGTGAAGAGACAATTGTGCTTTTTAAATATGAGGCACAGAATAAGCCTATCAGGACAGAGAGATAACACCACAAATGTTGTTCTTCTGTTAGCAAAGTTCTGCATTTGCATAATAAAATGATAAATACACTGATGAACTTAACCACAGCTCAGCCAACCCACTGCAGACCCACCAGCAGCTCTTCACCCCGCTCACCCCTCAGGCTGGAGAGGGCAGGATGTTGTTAGGATCCCATGCACTGGGGTTCACATCATCTCAGGAAGCATTTTCACTGGTGTTCATCCATTAGAGGCAGTTTCTTTGTCAGGGGCACTGAGAAAATGGCAGGAGGGTGGCTGGACTGACATGGCAGGTTTCCTCCCCTCAGCTGCCGGATGAGCGCGACGCAGTGTCTGAAACACGAGTGGCTGAACGACCTTCCTGCCAAGGCCAAGAAGTCCAAGCTGCGCCTCAAGTCCCAGTTGTTGCTGCAGAGTTACATGGCTCAGAGGAAATGGAAGGTGAGGAGACAAAGTCTGGCAAATCTACCTGCAGAGGGAAAATCAGCTCAGCACGGGCAGAGCCATTCCCTCCTTTTGTGTGTCGGCTCACTTGTGCCCACAGGCTTCTTTATTGTAAATATGAGTTGAGAAGTCTATTTTCATTTGTAAATTAAGTATTTTGTCCCGCAGAAGGGTATTGCTTCTATTTTTAGCACGTTTGGTTTCAATTTTCACTATTTCTGATTGGTGTTTAGGAGTTTTACTTTTTTTTTTCCTGCAGGTTCAGAGGCCTCAGGTGCTACTTAGCTTATATTAAATGTTCTTTCTCGTTATACTTTTTCCACTGACAGTAGTTGCATTCATCTGTTGTCAGTATTGAGTAGAGTTACAACATAAGCCAGTTTGTGCCTTCCAAAGTAGAAGTGTGGGAGAGAGAAAAAAAAATTAGCCTTAAACCCCTCCAGAGAATTCTTCCGAATCTTTCTGATAACCCCAAGCTCCTTCTGAACTACATTTTTATGAAGAAGTGATAGGTAATAATCTGTGTGGGAGTCTCTATTAGATTGTAGATAATTAATCTAATGATTTAATTTATTTGTTTGTTTTTGATTATTTATTTATTATCTTATTTAATTATTTGATTCATCTGTTATTTAATTGAAAGATGAACATAGTGATCTTGTTAGAAAGAAGCCTGTGGAAATGGAAGGCAAGCTCAGTGAGGACCATTTCCTTCTCTTTTTGTCACTGGGGAGTTGCCATTCCTTGCCAAGGAGTTAAACCAGAGGATTACACATTTTCCAGTCCCACACTTCAGCTGTTTGGTAACAAACTTCTGCACTTGCATTTTAAAAAATACATAACCTAAAGACCTTTCACTGTACAATTCATAATAGCACTGCAGACCTTCACAGTACCAGCAGAACCAGTGGTTCAGCACTGCAAAACACACCAGGTGTGGGTCACTAGAGGGAAATGGATTTACCAGGGAGAAAAATCCGTGTCAGCTGCAGAGAAGGTCCTTGCACTCACACTTGGACTGTTCTGTTCTGTTCACAGAAACATTTTTATGTGGTGGCTGCTGCTAACAGGCTGAAGAGACTTCAGAGTATGTCTGCCAAGCTTGCATAAGGTTGTGTGAAGCATCCACCACTCTTGGAGATGGACACGAAGCCATGAAAGGACTCATATCTTCAATAATTTCTACCCCTGTTTTATAACATAAGGTTTTGGGACTGTCCTCCTCAATTATTTTGTGTGTTAGTGCTAAGGTGCCAGAAGTGCCCTAAGGAAGAGGCACTGAAATAATGATTTCTAAAAGCAGAAGCTACTTTGTTTTTTCAAGTTTTGAGTTTTGTAAGTAGTGGTGGAAAAACGTGGCTGTCACTGGGGCTGACTTCTTGCTGAAGGCTTTGATTCTGCAGAGTGGTGGTTACACCACAAAACCCCTGGTCAGTTTTCTGGTTTCTCACACCAAGCATGGGATCTCTGAAGACTTTCTTACTGAGTGGTGTATGTTATTTTTAGAGAATTGCTACAACAGTGGCACAACTTCTTTGTCAGGTGCTTGTTACTTAGAACAAGATAACTGATACCCCTTTCTTCTGCATTTCTTTCAGAAAGATTGTTTCCCCCCCCAACATGATAGGTTTGAGTGGTTTTGGTTGTTTTGTTGTTGTTGTTGTTTTTAATCTACTCTCTCCTTTAGAAAAATAATCACTGCATAGTTAGGAACTATGAGGAATCCTGGTTTGAAGCAATTTAAGTTAGTCCATTGCTGCTGTTTCTTATGGCAAGTGGAATTGAGCTGAACTGATTGAACTTCTGGAAGGACATATGTGAAACTGCCACAAATACAAATCATGCAATGACCACTGGGTCTGTGCAAGAAGATCTCGTGCTGTACAGAAGAGATTCCCAGATACAGTTTTGTATATATTTAAAACTTTTAAGTGCTTCTCATTGGCTGTGACTGCAGCCCTTAAGTTTATAAGTTTTAGTTGGAGGATTTTTTTTCTCCTCTCTGAAAATTTTAATGAAGCCTGAGAAGCTGATAAGGTGTGACATGCAAAATAGGTTTTATTTCTAATAGGTTCAGTGACAGGGATGTGTTGTCAGACTCTGCCTTTAGTCCAGTTAGGAGGTTGAAGCCCTTTTTTTCTCCCCACTTTGCTCTTGAACATTAAGTGTTTTCTTCACAGTACTAACTTATTTTGGATTTTAAACTTTTTTTTTTCTGATGTATAGAGTGGGAGCCACTTAAAATCTCTCAGATAGAAGTATAACATTATTTACTAAGTGTTTTCTTCACAGTACTAACTTATTTTGGATTTTAAACTTTTTTTTTCCTGATGTATAGAGTGGGAGCCACTTAAAATCTCTCAGATAGAAGTATAACATTATTTATTAAACCTGTGGTTTCCTGTTGTAGATTCTGCAAAACTCAGTGTGAGCTGGATGGTTTTTAGGAGAAATGGAAACTAATACTATTAAAACTATCTTCCCAGCAAAGGCATCTGTAAAGCTTCATTGAACTTTATGGAATTTCACATCCCTTGAATTAGCAGAAGTAGTGTTTGTTGCTAATAAAGAGGTTTGTAAGACTGGCTTATCCCAGTCTAGTTATCTTTTCCTCTCAGCTGCTTCTCACTTTGTACAGTCCCGACTTCTGCAGCATTTCCAGAACTGGGACAAGGAAGAATTATTAAACCCAAGTCAAACAATCTTGATAATTTATCACCTTCTATGAAGGTCCACTTTCGTTCATGTTTTCCTTCCCCAGCAGTTCTGAATATTAAATGTGATTATATTCATTGGTCTGTATATTTCTGAATTAATACTAATAAATTTCATGAAAGTGGAACAAGCCTATATTCATCAGTTTTGGTTTAAACCCCACTGCCAAACCACCCTGAAAGCATCTCTTTGTAGGTTTTAAAAATGGAATGCTAATGGATGGGATTCTCTCCTCATGTCAGACATTTTGTCACAGCTCTTATTCTTTGTGGGTATTTTCTCTGCATGTCAAGAATTTGAGTCCATTCCCTAATGTCACCTGGAATGAAGTTAGCTCTTGCTAATTAAAGTTGGCTTCAAGCAATCTCCTTTTTTAATGCATTGGGAGAAGTGAAAGTGGCCAGGAAGTTTAAATTTTCCAATTAGTATGTGCTGCTTCTAAGAAGGTAACACAGAGATGCTCTCTGCTGTCTTGTACGTATTTCCTCTCTATTTTCTACAAAGAGAAGGTGCCTCTGGCCAGCAGGATGACTATTCTGTTTCTAACATAAAGGAATCCCTTTAGATTGGGCAGCCATCCCCTGGTTCTGCAGTACAGTGGGACCCACCTCTGCAGCCTGAGGGGATGTTTTCACCATGTCCTGTGCATTTTGCTTTGGGATCTACAGAAAGCTTAAGGGATGAACCACAGGTGACCTGTGAGTCACTGGAACAGTACAGGACAAAAAAACCCTGGCCCCACTGATATCTAATTAATGATACCAACTATTGTAATCTTGGTGTGATCATGTCTCATGTGAGCAGGGAGTGTGCACAGGAGGGAGACATTTGGCAGGGCATTAAAATACTTTTAAGAAGCTCAGGTGGGTGCAGTGTTTCAAATCTAAATGCTCAGACTTAAGATAATTTATCTTGTTTCATATGGACACTTGGGGCTTTTGGGTTTCTTTTGAAATGAGTGTTTATGAAAGTTAACTTATCTTTGTACATCCCAGCCAGAAAACATAAAACAAAAATGGAACGAAGACTTGGTTTGGTTTTGTTACAGTTACATCAGGCCTGCACTGCTAAAAGTAATGATTTTTCCTCAAAAAGTAGTAATAGCAAATTACAATTTGAGTAGCTGGGATGACAGTGTAGCATCACAGATGTTGCCTCCACAAACTACTCTCTCCTCTTCTCTAAGTTTATGACTGTGAGACATAAAAAAAACCCTGTTACCCAGTCAGGATCCTTGTCACCTGGATATCTTCCCTCTAAAAACACAGGCACCTCCTGTGAGTCTTTTACTTTGTGTTCTAAGTCATGTGCCAAGAACATGATGTCATAATACAAAGCTTTTCCTTCCAGTACTTTTATTGTTTCTTGAAATATTTGGGACCCCTTTATAAAAGCACAAGAGACTTCATTTCCATACACATGAAAATAAGTCAAATTCAGTTACTAAACAGTATTTCTTCAACAGTAAAAAAATAAAAGCAATTTAAAAAAAAATCTTAACTTCTCTGCTGGCTTTGCAGTTTAACAAGGCACCATTAGTCCCCTCCCTCTTATTTCACTGACTGCTTCCAGCCAAGGGCTCAAGGGCCTGTAACTTATAACTTATTTACACTTAAAGTAGCATTAGAACGTAGCATTAGAATGTTCCCCGCTTCTTGCAGCAAGAGAATGAAGCTATTTTACCCCCTTAATGCCAAAGCTGCTCAGGTACCAGCCAGGTGAGTAGTCAAAGACAGGCTTCCTGTAAAATCACCTCAATCCTAGTGTCATTTTATTAAAAATAACATTTTTCAATACTTAAAAGCTAAATTAGGTAGCTGGCTACCAGGCAGCCATCACCCATGCTACTGGAACTACTGTTAGAGCACAGGGAGAGTTAAGATTAAGAGCAAGCAGCAGTTGCATTACTGGGTGGCATTACAGGGGCAGTACTATTTGTCTCTTGTGCCTTAGCAGCATTTTCCAGGATTTTCTTTTTCCATTCTTCATAGTCCTGCTTTGTTTCAGTCTTTGGCCGTTTATGTGGCTTCTCCTCATCATCTTCAGATCCTGGGAGGGAACAAGAAAGTCCATGACAGGCCATCATGGGCCACGTGTTGGTGGGAATAACTGTGGCAGTGAGCACAGACACAGGCAGGGAGTCTGTCCCTGTGTTATCTAATCCCATGGTTTGCTGCTCCTCTCACCTGCTGGAACAGTCTCCTCTTTACCTTTGTGTCTGAACAGAACAGTTATCCTTAATTCTACTAGGATTACTCAGTATAAATTCCATTATCCTTCTGCCAGGTTCTCTCCATCCTTCCATAGCCAATGGATGCAGGATGGAGTGAGCTGCTGTGAACCTGAGATTATGGCCTATCCCACCACTAAAATACTGACCAGCTCAGGACTACTCCGGTGAGGTGATTTTCATTCCTAGCTGAGCACAACTTACCATCTTCCTGCTCACAGTGCTCCAGGCAGGCCTGCAGGCTTTCAGGTGTCTCTGCAGCCAGTGGAACATCTTCTTCTAAAAAAAATAAGTAAGTTGCTTTACTTCTGAGTGGTGTTTGGGGCCCCGAGGGTGGCCTACATGTAATTCCTAGATAGCAGTGCCACCTTCCAAAAATAATGTCACCCAGTCAGAGCAGTCCAGACTGATGCTCAAGCTCTACATGCAGAGGTGCCAGTACACTTGAAGGGTTGCATGGACTGACTGAATGCTTTAATTAGGTTGCTAATTAGCAGCAAACTGCTGCTGCATTTGTATCTACATTGATCCACCATGTTCATTGCCCAAAATCTACCCCTCTAGATTACTCTGGTGGGATTATCAGTTATTTTTTCCCCTTCTATTCCATTTCCACAGTTTGTATTATAGATACCCACAACATGCACGGGGCTGTCAATGTGTACAGATACATGATCTTCCCTGCACTGGTACAGAAACTCCCAGCTGCCTTTAGCTGCTTTAGTGGTGGGGTAAGGTTTGGGTTTTTATAGGGCACTGTACTGTGGGAAGGTCCGTGCCTGGGAGAGAGCAGCAGCTTTTGGTTTAGGTTCAGGCAGCATGTTCCACAAAACTTCAGGATATGAAGCATGAAGATAGGGTGAAGAAGGGTTACTCTCAGTGGGAAAGTCAGAGTGAAAGCCTGGGAAAGGAAAAAAGAAGAGAAGTAAAAAGCAGGAGAAATAAGGACAGGAGGGTGTGGATCATATTTTAGTCTTTTTCCTCCAAACAAAAGCAGTGGAGAGAACTGCAAGCTTAACCACAGGTGAGAATGGTTCCTCAGGTCTGCTCACTGTATGTGGAGAGATGGTGTCATGGAATGGCTCAGTTATTACCAGAAGAGCAAAGCTTATGCTTGTTAATGCTGCAGTGGGGAAAGGAAAGCACAGAAGTGAGTCAGTCAGAGCATGATGTTTGTGTTAAAATGTGTCATGTTGCCATGTTAACGGGATGCAGAAAGCAAGAAGGAGGAATCCAAGATGGGTCAGGTAGTATGGGAGAAGCAGGGAAGAAACTGCAGCAGCAGACACTGTAAGGAGCAGAGAAGAGAGGAAAATACTTATTTTTGGCCTTTCCGCATGCTAAGCTATTGTGACTTCCCCAGAAACAATGACTGTGAGTGGGAACTGGGCTGCAGGAAACATGATGAAATGGGTTGGGCAGATCTGGCTGAAAGGGGACAGCTAGAAGTGATCAGAATGAAATTATCAGTGGAATAGGATGGGGAACTGTGAGGCCATGGGATGGGTGTGCTGTCTTACAGGGATAAAGGCAAAGACTTACTCCTGAGGTGCTGGCTTATCTTCTCCAGCTGATTGCACAGCCGGTCAAATATTGCTCTTTTCACTCCAGATGTAGCCACCATTTTAGTTTTGTCCACTTTCAGCTTCAAACACCTACAAGAGAGAGTTGTTACCTCTGTAGAAAGCAACACTCCAGCAACTATCACTTATGTGAGGTGATAATTGCTGTACCAACACTGCCTGTGAGAATGAGAAAGGCAGGCCTGTGTTTTTGTCCTACCTATCCTTGTCTCACCCAGAAATTTGCTTAAAAAAACAGACCCCTACAGTACTCAGTCAATACAGCTCAGGAATTGAAACTCAGGGTGAGTTCAAGTTACATAAGGAAATTGTATTAGGAAAAAGTATTTTTCAAATTTACAGGGAACCAGGACAAAGTCCCACTACTGCAAAAAGCTGAATGAGACCCCTGTGTCAAAAGAACCTTTTTCAGGAGCTGTGCAGCTACACAGTCCCTGTGCTGCTAAGATTACAAAGTGTAATGCTGAGGAAGATCGTTGCACACAAGCCAATTCTTGCCAAGTGCTGGCTGAGTCACACAGCTCTTCCTGATCCGGGCCTACAGCTGTCAGAGCCATCTTCAAAGGCAGAGCACCCTGAGGATGTGATGGTGTAGGCTCAGGGCTTTTCCTTCTCCAGAACAGCTGTTTCTCGGTGCTCAGAAGCGAGCTGGCAACCATTCTTACACCTTGAGCTGTATTTCACCAAAATCCATGTAACTTTCTGCTTTGTGTAATGTAGGTTGGAGACTTCACTGCAAAGAAAGACCTGGTTTGCTACAGCTGTCCCTATTTTCAGGAGCAGGGTAGCAGCATATGCTAAGCAGGACCCTAGATGAAGCAGCTGCTTAGATTGTTCAGTGTGTCACCAGGCATTTCAGCCTGAAGAAGATCCCCCAGCTACACTCACCTGCATGCAGTGAATAGTGAAGCTGTTAAAAAAAGTGGTTTTGAGAAATCAAGGTCCATCCTCTGTGCTTCAGAAAGGCTGGATTCATACCTAGAGAACAGCAAGGGATAATTGGACACTGCGTTTGCCTCAAATGAAGCTGCTGAAATACATCTGTCATGTGGGACTCAGCAGTTGAATGGGTCTGATGGACCACTTGGTCCTTTGCAACCCAGTCAAGCAGAAACAGCTGCTACTGGCTGAGAAGAGCAAAAGACACCAGGAAAAAGAAGGGGATTGGGATGACCTCCTCTTTTTGAATTAAAGGTATTTTAAATTGGGATCTGGATGGAGGCATGTCAGTAAAATCTGTTTCTTGTGCTCCCCATCCACACAGTACTTTTAGCTCTACACTACACCTAAAAATTACAACGAGATGCTTTGCATAAATCCATCCTACAAGAGAGGGCAGCATTATAGTTTCTTGTATGCTGCACAGATGTGTATGTTACACAGATGGAGGCTTAAAAATGGAAAACGACATAGTGAATGTGCAGCACTGAAGAATTTAACTTTTTATTGTTCCACCTGTCCCCAGGCTATTTTTTTCCAGTTTGTAAGAAGCATCAACAAGCATGCCCAGCCTTTATTCATTGACCTAGCAGCATTTAAATGTGCTATAAGGGTGACAGCACAGCAGAACAGAGCCCTTCAGGGACTGCTCTGGTTAAAGTAGATATTATGGAACAGAAAATTTTAGTTAACTCTCTTGAATCCACTGAAGTGTTCTACCTATTTGTTTTGCAGGTAATGTGCATTTTAAGAGATCTGTGTCTCCAGAAGGGAGGATTTCTCTCTATTGAGCATTACTTCTGAACTGTGCTGTGATCAGCAGTTAAATGGATGACACTCTGATGCTAAGGACAAATATGGGGACTAAGAGTACTGTATTTTTTACACTATTCCCAGCTGAACAGTCAGACAATGACTTACTGAGATTCACAGACTAAGTCTTTCTTTCATGTATTCTAAAAAGTGGCCTGGATCATGGCTGAATTGGCAGTGCTAAGAACTCACCTCACTGCTCCAGTCAGTGAGGAATACCTGCCCCTTCCAAACATCAAGCTCTTTACACATCTAATGAACAAAGAATCTTACTAGAGTTTACCACGAGAGCTTCCTCACCTCTGAAGTATTTCTGCAGCCATGTTCACTGCCTCTGTGCAGCAAAATTGCACAGCCAAGTCTCGCATTCCCAGCCTGGGGTTCACCTCCAGCAAACACTCCAAGGACTTCATAGAGTTCTGGTAGGTGTTCTTGTTCAACCCGGAGAGTTTAACACAGTAGCTCTTTCAAGAAGACAAACCCCAAGAATTAGCAAGATTCCTTCCTGACATCTTAATCAGGCAATCAACACAACACCATAAAGTTCAATTGCTACATTAAACAAATTTGTGCAATGAATAATGCACATTTTGACTGCACACAGAAAGATTAACCACCTAGGAATGCCACAGCTTTTAACACAGTGATATCTTTAGACCATTTCATCGGAAACAAGGTTTGATATTTCCATATAATGTGACGTGTCCCTTTTATCAAAATGGTTAAAAACAAGGATTAGCAAAATCTGGGCAATTTGAAGACATGAGCATCACCTTCCTGCTACTCCTCATGGGGTCAGGTCCAATTAAATTCTCCTCTGTCTGTAAACGGACAACGATGAACATCTTGTGCCAGGCATTATTTTGGCGGGTTTGCAGGTGGAGGTTTATGGTACCTCTACAGAGAGGGATTCCTTGGAGCCCCTGCTTCCCTCCCACAGTAAAAGGGATAGATCTGAAATTTAACATCCCTGCTAGTAATTTATTTGTTACCGAAAGAGCTGAAATTATACCAAAGCAAACTCAACTTGAGAAGTGACTATGACACTGATCTCAATTTGCCCTGTTTCAAATTCTGAACAGTGAAAGCTCTAACGCTGTGTCTAGCAGCACACTAGTAAGTCAATTATTATGTCCCTTTCCTGCTCCCAGCATACACTTCACAGAACAATGATTTCAGTGGACTAACACAGAATGCACTGACAGCCACCACATCTTACTTTGTCAATCGGTTGTTTCATGAAACTCGCCGCCAGGTCCAGGCACATCACAGCGCTGCTCGTCGCCGTCATTTGAGCCATTAACCCCGTGCACTTCACCTGGGACAGCCGCAGATACTCCTCAGCTTTCCTGCAAAACACAAAGCCCTCGTTAACAGGTACGAGACAGTAAGAATGTGCGGAGGTTTCTCCGCCCAGCTCCCCGGCTGCAGCACACGCTCGGGGACCAGGCGGTGTGTTCTCTGGTGATGTGCAGCGGGACTGCACTGCAGGGTCAGCCACGTTCCACCGACCCCGCCTGCCTTGGGGTCCGCGGCTCCACCACACCCACAACCGGACAGCGCTGTGCGGGGGTGCGGAGCCGGGGGGAGACGGCGCAGAGCGTGTCCCTGATCCCCGCGGTGTCTGTCCTGCTATCCCTGATCCCCGCGGTGTGTATCCCGGTGTCCCAGATCCCCGCGGTGTGTGTCCCCCGCTATCCCAGATCCCCGCGGTGTGTGTCCCGCTATCCCAGATCCCCGCGTGTGTGCCCCGTTCCCACACCCCGCGGTGTGTACCCGGTGTCCCGCACCCCGCCGGTGTGTGCTCCCGGTTGTCCCGCACCCGCGGCTGTTAGTCGCCCGGGTCCCGCACCACCGCGGTGTGTGGTCCCGGTGTCCGCACCCGCGCTTACCCAGAGGGCGGTTTCCGCGCGCAGCCCAGCCTGGCGCCATGGTCCTCAGGCCCCGCGGGCTCCTGGCCCGCCGCGCGCTGCCCGCGCGCGCCGCCCGCGGTACTGCGAGCGCGCCGTCAAGATCACCGGCCCCTCGGCCCAATCGGAGCGCGGCGCAGGCCGCGCGCGGCGGCGGGCCAACTGGGGAGGGCGGCGGCGCGCGTACGGGGCGGGTCGGCGCGCGGCGCGCAGTCACATGACCGGGCGTCGCGACGGGGAGCGGCGGACGGCGGGACCATGGTGGGGTGAGGCGGGCACCCGCGCGCGGCGAGCGGCGGCGCGGGTCGCCCGGGGCACGGGCTCAGCCTGGGGGCACCGCAGCCGTGGGCGCACCTCTGGGACCCGCGACCGCGTGGCCTTTCCCTGCTGAGCCGGCGCGGGGCAGGCCCGGCGGGTGCGGGCTGCGGAGGCGCACGGGTTCCGGCCCGGGCGGGGCGGAGGAGTGCGGGCTGGGCCCGGGCTGGGGCCGCGGGCTCGCCCGCCGCGTTCGCTCGTGGGGGCGCAGCGGGACGTGTGTGTTTTTATCGGCCGGTGTTTTTTATTGCCCGCACGGGCGGGCAGAGTTTCGGGCTGTTTTATCGCGCTGCCCCTGCGATGCACCCGGCGTCGTGTCTTTGCCGGTGCTGGGCACGTGTGCCCGGGCTGTCCGCCCTCTAGCCCGCTCTCCTGGCCTCCCATACCTTTCAAAACTGCTGTCGTAGGCTCCCCCAGTGAACTTCTTTTCTTTTCCAGCAGGAAGAGTGGTTTTGCATTGGTGGGCCCAGCTCATTAGTGCTGTTTGGCGCAAATGTTGGTGTTTATTCATTAGGGAGGTAGGGAGGGTGTAGCCAGGTGGGGGTCGGGCTCTTCTCCCAGGCAACCAGTGACAGGACGAGAGGACACAGCCTTAAGATGTGCCGAGGAGGTTTAGGTTGGACGTTGGGAGGAATTTCTTCACAGAAAGGGTGATTAAACATTGGAATGGGCTGCCCAGGGAGGTGGTGGAGCCGCCGTCCCTGGAGGTGTTTAAGGAAGGACTGGACGTGGCACTTGGTGCCATTGGTCTGGTTGACCAGGTGGTTATTGGTTACAGGTTGGACTCGATGATCTCGAAGTCTTTTCCAACCCAACTGATTCTGTGAGACCTGAAATTTCCACATGGAAATAACATTTGGTGATAAATGCTTTTCAGTCTTCAATGAGAATAAGGGAGTGATCAAGTTTCCTTGTAAAACTCAAGTCTTTAGTGTGTCTTCAGTGTTATTTAATATTCAATAAAATTTTAAGCAACACTTGCTGTAACCATCATGATGTGTTAATTAATCTAAGTGTGGAGTGTAAACAGTACTAGCAGTATAGAGATAGGCAAAAAATAACTGAATAATGTATAAAGAAGAGATTGTGCAGTTCTTAGGCTTTTGGAACAGGCTTTGTTTTTAAAGTGTTATGGATGTTGATATCAGTTAAATCCTGTATCCTGGGAGTGGTAATGATACTTGAAAGTGGAGTGGTAAATACTGAATTGGGTGATGAGAAATGCTAAATCTGTGTAGACAGCAGTCTCTGTCCCCCACATAAATATTTTGTGGTAGTCATTGACTGAGGAATGACACAAGTTTTCTCTGCCTATCATTTCCATGAGAATTGGCCTGAGACTTATATGGTCTCATGGTCTCTTTCTAAGAATAGCTGATATGAGGTGGTTCAGAAAAAAATAAACTTACAGGTGTTAAACTTGGGATAATCACAGATATTAAATTTGGGATAATCCCCTCTATCAAATTAGGCTCCACTGTGATTTCCTATGACTAAGCTTGGTTTAAACCTTGAATCTGAATGCTTAAGTTCCTTTAACAAGACTCATTTTAAGAGGGCTCTGGCTGTTTTTGATGATGCCCTAAATAAAAAGTCCATCTCATTAATGTCTTGTGGCTTCCTGTGGCAGTAAGTAGCAGTTTCAACATGTGAAAAATGTTTTCATCTCTCTGGTTTGTCTTTGAGCTCCTGTACTGTGAGATATAATAGAGGGTTTGGAGCCTTTGGTGTTGCAGAGTGATGCTTCCTGTATGGTATCAAACACTTATGCTTCTTTTTGTGGGATAATTCTCTCAGTGCCTCCCACAGCAGTGCATTGTGTGCACCAGGCTTCATCTGCAGGCTGGCACTTGTCCCAGTCCACTTCCATAGCTAACCCATCTTCTCTCTTGGGCAGCATTAATTTTAAGTGGCTCAACAGTGATTTATTCACAGATAGTCCTAACAACATCCAGCTGGGAGGGGGAGTCAGGAAAACCTCCTTGGGTAAGTCTCACTTGCTGTGGTATCAAACACAAGCATGTGAGCAAACTGAGGTGTCATGTGTGGAATAGGCTGTGTAAGCACATCAGTTACCTAAAGAAAAGACTTCTGGAGATTAGACAAAAATGCACATTAGAATGGAAGCAAAACCTTCTACTCTGTGTTTATACTCTACATCTGCTTAAGATACCTGCTGTCAGAGTATGAGCTGTTTGGTAGCTTGACAAGCTCACTCCAACTCTGCTCAATGTCAATACTGCAAGGTACCAGATTTTTGAGTGGAATAACTCAGCACATGGGCCCAAAATAATAACCAGCTCTAGAGTGTAGCTCATTGTCAAATATGGAACTAAATATGACTGTTATCAAGTCTTCTCATGGAACTGAGCATTAGAAAATCAGAAAGTTGTACACAATAGGTGTACTATTTGCTGTGCATGTTTCAAGAGTAGTTGCTATCATGAGGAAAGGCACAGGCCAGAATAAAGTTTGCTGCTGCTGTAATACACTTCAGCAATTGTTATCTGCAGGTTGACTTATATTACCCACTCAGATCAGATGGCTTCAAGCTGTTTGGGTTTAAAAAAAAAATAAAATTGTTTTCCAAAGCAACTTAAGGTTCACTGGCCTTGATAAAAAAACCCCAAAGAAACAAAACCTGAAAGACAACAACAAAAAAAAGCACACCAAAATCCCCCACCAAAAGCAAGCTTTCCTCACTCCCCCTCCAAAGTCATCTGCTGTGTGTTGTGACTTCCACAACTGTGGTAACTTAAGATAGTGCTATCTTCAAAGCTAGAAAAAGGCTGTCGTCTCTTGAACAGAAACTGATGGTGCAGCTGTGGGAGGTTGTTCTTTGTCCCTTCTCCACTGCTCACTTGCTTCCTTGTCGCTTCAGGAGAGAAAAGGTTAGGGAACGAGTAAAGCAGAAAACCCTTTACATCAACTCTCCTTTTTTCTTCAACATTTGTAGTGTATCTAGTGTGGGTAAGGCTCAGGCATTTCTAAAGTCTGAATGGCTGCATAATTGCTATAATTTGCTTGTCTTGTGTTCATGCAGGAGATTATACCTTATTGTACATGTACAAGGCAGGATATTCTGTGCCTTGATTATGGAGTGCTGCTGCTTTTGTCCAGTGTCAAAGTATCTTCCACTTCAAAGGCCTCTGTTCAAGGTTGTTGCTCGTAAATGGGCACGGAACTCCACATCACAGTTGCTTTTTTGATAAAATAACATTTGAAAATACCATCTTGTGTTACTAGGTTACTAATTTAAGTGGAAGATACAGAGCATAAACAGCTTTATTCAGCATTGAATCTGACAGAAGAACTGTGTGCTAATTCAGTGTGTGCCCTGCTGGATGTCACTGGTGGGCTTTTGCCATATGTTCTTTTCACTTCACTTGCCTTTTGCCAAGAGATCCTCAAACTTCAAGCATGTGTATCAGGATATGTGTCTTACTGTGATCTTGTGTATCACTTGATAATAACCAGGTTATGTTTCAAAATATCTACAGTTCTGAAGCTGAAAGTAGCTTGCTTTCTGAAGTCAAAAGAAAAGGGTAAGCTGATAAATATTCAGACTTTGAAAGGTAAGAAAGGCTTAGAACTTAAGTGGTGCTGCTGTTAAAATGTCTTCTATTCCTGCAGAAGTAAAGCTGCTATAAACAACACCTCAAGCAACACTACTGCTTCTGTTACAGGCTTATGACAGTAGTAGTAGATTATCTCACTGTCTGTGCTGCTGTAAAATGCTCCAGTTGCCTTTTCTTTAGACATGAAGTGCAGTACCCTTGTGGTAAAGACATCTTTGTTTAGACCAATCACCTTCTCAGTCTTCAAATCAGAAAAAATACAAATTTAATTTTTGTCCTCTTTCTTAGTTCTCTTTATCTTCAAGAGATACAGAAAAAAAAAAGTTAACTTCTTGTGGTAACACGAAAATGCTCCTGTTGATGAATTCAGTCAAGCACTGACTGTGGTCCCAGTGCTGAATAGGGTGTGGAACCTGGCTGCTCAAACTGAGAGCAGAAAGGGAAGTACTGCCAGTGTCTTCTGTTAACGCAGACAGAATCTGATGTAAAGCTGACTCTGGTTCATTATAAATGGGAAGGCTCTGAAATTCCAGTTTTTCCCCA